TTAAGACCCTACGACTTCTACGACTTCTATTGTAGACCCCGCATAAGAGTTAACTATGAGTTGTGGAACTGGACCTAAGGTTGTGTCCTCGTGGAGAAAGAAATAGCGGAACAGAATGTTGAAAGAAAAGATAGGATGAGGGTTATCCTCGGGCAAAATTCGTGGGATGTCTCCGTGATGATCGTCAGCATTTACATTTACCTCTTTATTTTCTTTTTATGTCGCGGGAATCAACTCTCTCCCTCGTGAATCTCACGACTCACGAATAATAAAATTGCCAGCACGAATGACGAGACCGACCGGATCCATTCGCGAGCTATCGATTCTCATCGAGCGTAGAGAGCGGGCCTTTCTCGGCACGTCCACCGTTGGTATTTTGATAGCGAATCGTCTCGTCCAGCTGACACAACTTGACGAATCGCGAAACGAGAGTGTATCTCGAAGATAAAATGACAACGTCAGAGCATTCTTCTTGCCTTTGCCTGCAGTTTTCTTAACTCTCGCTTTCGATAAGTCAACCGTCAAGAGAAATAATAAGCGGTGTGGCGCAGCGAAGAAAGTCGGTCAGCAATGCTATGAAAAATCCAACTCTTTTTTGCGGGACAGGACATTCTTCGGAATCTCCTTCTTCTCGACGAGAACGGAAGGCGGATTTCCAAGAATGCTGAACAGCGCGTAAACGCGAGGTACCGAAGATGGCGAGGAAATAGGAACTCAGCCGCGTGTCGTCGTGGTCGTGGTCGTCGCCGTCGATCACACTCGACGTGGACGGCTGTTTACGCGTGAACCAAAACATCAATGACCTTGAAAGCCGTCGCGTCACGTGACCTGGGAGAGAGAAGCGCCGATTGGTTCGCGGAGGCCGCGTACAACGTGTATCGGTGTATTGCGTCGTGCGGCCCGCATTCCTCGTCCAATAGGATTCGCGCGCGCTCGGCCGGGAGACGCGAGGGGGAGGACGAGGTGGACAAGAGCGAGCCGCGAACGGTGAGGACGACGACGACGAGGACGACGAGGACGACGGTGGCGGCAGCGGTGGCTGCGGTAACAGCAGCAACAAGCAGCAGCAGCAGCAGTGGTGGCGACGGTGAACGGTAACGGTTGTGACGGTGACGAGGACGAGGACGACGGTGGCGGCGACGGTGATCGAGACGGTGCACCGTGTTGGTCGGTGGCGTACGCCGTACGTGTTAGTGCGTGTGTTCGTGCGCGAGCGCGGTTGGTCGGTGGCTCGCGTTGTTGTATCCAAGATGAAGTCCGACTCGAAACCTTTGTTGACAGCTCAGGCGGAAAAGGCGAATCATTACACGTAAGTAGCGGCCGGCCGGACCGCGCCGGGGCCGCGTGGCCCAACTTTGTGAGACCAAGTGCGATTACTCGGTGATCGAGCGCGATGCAGCGCGATGCAGCGCGATGCTGCGTGTCGCGCCCGCCGATACTCTGCGAGATTCGAGCATTCGAGAAAGAAGTATAGCGAGGGGGAGAGCGAGAGAAGGGCGATGAGCGAGGGAGACGTCTGACGAGTTGGCTTGGCCGTTTCATACGTCGGGAAGTGCGCGGATCATCCCGAAAGTGCAGTGCGAAGAAAATTAATCAAACATATTGTGCGAGAGGGCGGGAGGGAGGGAGGGAGAGGGATTAAAAGTAGAAGGTAACGGTGCGGTTAGAGAGGGAACAGAGTGGGAGAAAGAGAGGGACTGTGCGAACGTGAGAGTGAGAGAGGGAGAGTGAGTGAGCGAGCGAGCGAGAGAGCGAGCGAGAGAGAAAGAGAGCCAGCCGCGAGCAACGAACGCGGCCTATAACGCGCGACTAACGCGACGCGCGCGTCCTACGATTCGCAAAAATACATGTATGAGCGATGAGAGAAAGAGAGAGAGAGAGATAGAGACGCGACGACGAGCCAGCGTGGTGGCAGAGGAGCGTGTCAAGCTCTACGGGCGAAAAATAATGTCTAGCACGGTGGATTCGCATTCCAGATACTTGAAGGAGTTCCGCGTCGACCAGTGTCCCCTCTTCATACAGCGCAAATGCACGCAGCACCGACCGTTCACGTGTTTCAACTGGCACTTTATGAACCAGCGGAGACGCAGGCCGGTGAGAAAGAGGGACCGCACCTTCAACTACAGCGCCGACAATTATTGCACCAAGTATGACGAGACGACTGGCATCTGCCCCGACGGAGACGAGTAAGTTTTTTTTTTTCTCTTTCTCCCTCTGTCTCTTCTATTGCGCATCGCGACGTAATTACACGACCTAGTACGCATTCTTCTCGGTTTGTCGTGCTTGGTCGGAAGAATCGGTAAGAATGGATACGTGCGTCGTACGTGAATGATAAGAACATCATGGCAGAACGGATTACGGCATTTACGACGCAACGATTCTACTTCGAAACGTTACCGACGACGTTCTTGAAGAGTCTCTCGCGTCGTGATATCGTTAAACGGCAGGTTCCTTCGCATCCTTTCGCCAAATATACGCGCGATACACGTACGTGTGTACATTTGTGTGTGTGCGTGTGCGCGCGCGCGCGTGTATGTGTATGTGTGTGTGCGTATATATATAAATAACGTAACGCGACGTATATGTACACGTAGCGTTGCTGTCGCACGGCGTACGTGGCCCTCGCGCGCGCACATACGTGTTTACGTTCTGGTGCGCGTCCGCGCGACTCTTTCATCCCCCACGAAGAGAAACAATTGTTGCTCGGGTCTTCAGCGGGGATCATAGAGCGAGCTACGAAATAAGAAAGATATCACGCATAGCGCACATCGTATCACAGAATTGTATACTGCGTTCTTTTAGTTAGGCAGTCGCAGCAGCCGCGTGTTACGTCATATATACGCGAATGAAAGTTTAAATCTGTTCTTTTTAGCTGTCATTAACTCGTCATTTTTTTCTTTTCTTCTTCAATACAAAGAGAAAAGGAGGAAAGATGAGCGGTGCAAGAAATTCAACTAAAAGGACCTAAACTAACAGGCCTTGCACTATATATTTTGTATACAGGTTGGACCATTTTAATTTATCCAGTCGATTTTATCAAAATCTATGTTTTTCAGACAAAAGTTTTATGGTTTCAAGAGGGAAAGAAGTCGGTGACCTTGAGATGTCCTTAACCCCTTCGCTGGCACGTTCATTTTCACAATTTGTGCCCTGGCGGGCAGAAAAAAGTTTTAAATTTTTTTTTCGCACTTGGTATATAGGGGTTTTTTTTTTAGGGCGCTGATTCCGATTTTGAGATAAAAATTGAGAAATTCAAAATGGCGGACCTCAATTTAAGAAAATTCACATTCTTGATAAAACATTTTGAAATTTGATTTATGGGGGTTTTCGAGGATGCTGATACACACGCGCGCACACGCTAATGACGCAAGTGAAAACTGAAATGTGACAGATTTCGGTTTTATGTTATAATTTTTTACTTTCTAATTTTGACATTAAAAATCAAAATCATAAACCTCGAAAACCCCCGGAAGCCAAATTTCAAAATGTTTTAACAAGAATATGAATTTTTTCAAATTGAGATCCGCCGTATTGGATCTGCCATTTTGAATTTTACAATTCTGACTTCAGAATCGAAATCAACATTCTCGAAAACCCCCGTAAGCCAATTTTCAAAACGTTCTGATAAGAATTTAGATTTTTTTATTTCAGTCCGCCATATTGGATTCGTCATTTTGAATTTTATATTGTTGACTTCAAAATCGGAATCAGCGACCTCAAAAACCCTTATATACCTAGTTTGAATCAAATTCATTCATTCATTTCGAAGAAAAAGCTCTTTGACGCCACATGGCGCCAATGCCCATTGGGGCACGTCTTTTTCTGGACGCCATATGGCGTCAATGTCAGCGAAGAGGTTAAGGTCAGGTCAAGGTTACCTAAAATTTTTTTAAATGAAAATCCTCATTTTTTATTACATATTTTTGTAACTGTCTTCAAAACCTTTTGAAAACACTATAATAAAGTTCATTTTCATTAAGTAATTTCCGAGTTATGACGCTTGAAAGTTACAGTACCGTTGGGATTTGCATTGCCCAAGGTCCGATGGCTAAAATCTTTGGAATGTTGTTCACAATCATGACGTTGACAACTTACAGGTACATACTGTAATTTAATTTGGTCCAGGGTCTGATCCAAGGATCCCAACAGCTGTTTTCCAAAAACTTTGGAGATGTGTACATCAACCGAATTGTACTCGTGAGACTTAGAGCAATAAATTTCGATGAAAAAGATTTTCGTATTCAATTAATCCTTAAATAGTGAGAATATATATAAACATTTTTTGAGATTTTTGATTTGATTGATGTTAAACCGAATTACATATCCAAAGTTTTTGGAAAACACCTTGAACCTAACCTAACCTTGGACTAAATTAAATTATAGTATGTAACCTGTAAGTTGTCAATATCATGATTGGAAATTTTATTTCAAAGATTTTAGCCATCAGTCTGACACCTTGGACAATGCAAATGCCAGTGGTACTGTAACTTTCAAACGTCATAATTCGGAAATTACTGATAAGTAGACCCTACTTATCAAAATTTTTAAGATTTTTCAGAAAAATCACTTTCTTTTATTTTAAAAAGAATGTACGGGTGATCTGGAACACCTCATGTATATTCACTTCATTTTAAATGTAAAAATTTTGTGAGATTTCAAGCAACGTTAACAGATCTATTCTCTTCGAGGCTGCCGCTACAATCCACAGCGCGGGTGGCTCGTTTACAAATTGGAGATTGGAGAGAAAATGGATAAACAGATAGATCAATAATTTTATTTATCACGCGTTCTAGAATCCCTTATAGATAAAGAATCTGATCACTCACTGAATTCGCGCATATTGGCTTAATCAAGCTTTGTAGTAACATGGTGAAACTAATTAGAATTACTGCAAAAGTCAGGCTAATTCAAACAGGAGAGACAATAAATCACGAAACAATTTTAAATGTAGATTTTTTTATTCTCTTTTGCTTTCTAAAATTTTACTAATATATTAGGATAAAATTCACTTTAGTGATATATTAAGACTTACGTGTCTTATATATATATAGATTTATAAACACCATTTCATTACAAAAGTAGTCTCAATGATTAGACTTATTTAGGGATTCTAGAGTAGCGTCCGCTTTCAAGCGCTAAAAATATTTATACAAATGAAGGATATAAAAACAAATAAATACAGCAATACAAGAAAGATTACAAAAAATAATATAAAAAAGAATAACTGTTTGAGCGCATCCTTTGAAATGACATCCCCTCAAAATAAACATTTCAATTATAATCATAACAAGCAAAAGTCTGTGAGTGTCAATAGAAAACTCAGGTATAGAGAGATGCCCAGAACACCAAAATAAAAAAAAAAAAAGAAAGCAGGAAAGGGTGAGAGAAGAAACAGAGACACGTGCTTCGTCTCCTCGTTTTCGTTGGTCCTTGATACATAACGTAACGTACATGTAGATAATGCACGGTTCTGTCCCAGTAAAAGATGCGACGTGACATTTTTGGTCAAAACAATGTTTCCGGCGTAAATTCCTTCCCGATAATAATAACACTCGATAATCCCATGACGATAAACCCTTCTCGGCGAGAATGCGATCTGGTGTTCTCGGCCCCGGTGCGAATTCTTAAGAAGTAACTTTTTTTTCTTTGCCGTCAGAATTCCTTTGAGATCTCTTCGATTTCAAAATGGAGAACACGTCTCCCGGTAGTTTGCAGTATCGATTATACATTCCAGCGTGACTTTTGCCCGGAAACAATGACACTAACATCGCATAGTTAACTCCGCACTTTACGCATAAATTAACATGTTTGATGACGCCTTGTATCCACGTTTTGTAACTTCGTTTCCATGACGGTAAATGCTTACACACACATACACACACGCGCGCGCCTGCACCGAAATACACACTCAATCTGCATAAACAGATGGACATTCCCAATCAACAACATTCTATAAATTACAAGCACGAACGATTCGTTTTTTTAAATTTACGAAAGGAACGAAACGGCTCGATTTTCATTTGTTGAAATCGAATGAATTTGCATACGTATACTTATACAACAATTATGGGTCAAACACAATAGAGTAGTAAGCTTTAAGCATTAAGGAATTGACCAATCATAGTCGATTATTTTTCTCATATTCGACTGTGATTGATCAATTTCTTAAGACTTAAGGCTTACTACTTCTGTTTACAGGGTTAATCTCGAGTCTCTCTTGCTTTTCTTCGTACGAGCGTCATAGTAACAATTTTGCAAGAATATTACGGAAAGATCATATTATGTTTTTCTATATCTTCGATTTTACGCAGAAAATATCGTCGCGTGAGATTTAAATGATGGTTTATCGATATCCTTTAAATTGGCCGCAAATTATTTGTACGGTTGTGAACTTTTATTACTCGGTATTCGACGTAAAGTGATTTTTCATTGATGAGCGATTGTCCGGGTTCACATTGTGTGAATTTCTTCCCCAAAATTCCCAACGTTTACGAGTTGACGAACAAAGGAAGCCCACTTTTATCGATTTTCTCTCTCGTACTTGACACGATGGCACAACAAAGGATCACATGTATATCTAAACCTTATTCGAATGTATTAATATACTTATGTATTTTTTAATTATTTTTAACCGTTTTCTGTTTTTTATAATTTTTTTAACTTTAGAAAATTATTAGTGTTATTTTCTTTCCGGCATATACATGTATAGTTACATTTTGGAACGATATTCGTAAATCCGCGATAAGAACAAGAGAAAAAACGGAATATACAGGAAGGGCACAGATTAAATTTAGTATCACTGAGGATTGCGAGTGTGACTGTTAATGATTGAAAGAAAAAAGAGAAGAGCGCACAAAAAAAGTAACATTTTATTAAAGCTTAAGGGGAACCTAAAGATGATTAATCATATATATATAGAAAATAGCACTTACACACAGACGATTTATGTGTCCTTGACACATCACTACATCAATATCTCACTTACGCCACACATATACATAAATTTTTGTATAACAATTACATTTTAATTATACGTCTAAGTCCAATTTTAAGAACGCCATGCTGTTTCCTCATGCAAACTACTAGTCTGTGGACTATTTCGAAATTACAAATTGCACAGTTTTTATATGAAGCAAATGTTGTGACGGCGTGACATCTAGAGCGCCATATTGGACTAAGAAATGGTAAAGATCTCAATTTCGAAATTTTTTTGTCATTCTCAGCATAGACTCCACAGACATATATTAATGCGTATGCTTTAATCCTGGAAAAGGATTTTCAAATCAGTAAGAGAAGAAAAAAGTAATTGTTATACGATTAAAAATTATATGGTTTAGTCGATAACACAGACGATTTTAGGATCCCCTTAATCGAGAATGTAAAAATGTTATCTTGTTAAACACAGGTGTCCGTTTCTGCATCGTACCGCGGGCGACACAGAGAGGCGTTATCATCTACGCTACTACAAGACATGCATGTGCGTCCACGATACTGACACGCGTGGATTTTGCGTGAAGAATGGCCCGCACTGCGCCTTTGCGCACGGAAATCACGACCTGCGCCCACCCGTGTATGACATCAAGGAGATCCAGGCGCTGGAAAATCCGGACTCGGACCCAAACTCCTCGTCGAATGGGCCTAACATACTCGACAAGGAGCGTAACTTGATGAATGAGGATCCAAAATGGCAGGACACGAACTACGTGTTAAGCAACTACAAGACCGAGCCGTGCAAGAGACCACCGCGGCTGTGCCGGCAGGGCTACGCCTGTCCGCAGTATCACAACAGCAAGGACAAACGGCGCAGCCCACGGAAATATAAATATCGGTAAATATCGATGTCGAAATTAACCAGTTGACACGGACGACGTCACGTTGGGAATAATGCCTAAATCACAATGTTTATTCTCTGGAAAAACTTGGAAAATCTGGAATTTTTAGAAAATTTTTTTATCCTTGAAAATGGAGGATTTTCATGGAACTTTATTGTTACTCGAGTTTTTAGAATTTCACTTTTAAATTAAAATTCTATCTTTTTCTGAAAACATTGGCCATGTTCAAGTTGGACGAAACTGCTTGCTTGCAACCGAGCGATTAAATGAGATCGATTGAATCTTCTGGTAAGTAAGAACTAATCATGTTCAATTGTTCGGCGAACAGACTAGCTACTTTGTCAGCTTGAACACGCTTATTATTTTCTTTAATCATTTTTTCATGATGCTAAATGTCGACGATCGGTTAGCAACAAGCATAGTATACACACCCGCATATAATCACGCACATTCTCGTGTGTCTCGCGAGTTTTTATTTAAAAAATCGGGGTAAGGTAGTAGAAGATAATATTCTGCAGAAAAGAGTAGCTCACTAATAAAATAATTTATAATCAAAATTTAAATACTAATCGGACTCTCGAAATTAAAAAACAATAATATAATATACGGACAATGAGAGCGTTAACAGCGCGGGAATTGATGCGCAATTTATATAATAGTCAAATAATATTCACATAATATATTAAAATTGTACAATGACTGTCGAATATAAAATAATTTATATATATTATAATGAGCCTTCTCTATCTTATTATAATGTTTTATGACTCCAATTGTAGAAACTGATACAATATATACATATAACGAATTCGATTGAATGCACTATTGAGTGTAAAAGTGAAATACAAATACTATATTTCGAATTATAGAGTACATATTTTACTCAATAGCACAATAAAATGTATTGAGAATTTCACGGTTTAAGCTTTGACTACATTTTTCAAGTGTTTTAAAGAGATCTTATTACTGTTTAAAATTTTTTTTTGTTTACAAATGATATAACAAGAAATTTTAACGTTTCTTACTTATGACATCCAATATGGTCGCGGCGACTATTCCGGAGCTTAATCAGTTTTTATACTTACATTAACTACATCTTTAATTTGTGTGCGACAACTTTAACATGCACCACTACGTATGTCCAATCGAATTCGCCTCATGGAATCTCTACTAATTTATAATATATAATTTGTTTGCGTTACTCGCATTCCAATTTATTTCAAAGTTGCATTAAAAATTTGTTTAATCTTACCTGGAATTTTGAATAATATCTGGATAAAAAACTCCGGGAATTTTCAAGTTTACTTTTTTTTTTACAAGATTTCAGTGAGTATGTCCTGAATAAACGTTAATGATGATTGCAGCTCAACGCCATGCCCGAATGTGAAACACGGCGAGGAATGGGGCGAGCCGGGCAACTGCGAACAGGGAGACGCGTGCACGTACTGTCATACTCGCACGGAACAGCAGTTCCATCCTGAGATCTACAAATCCACCAAGTGCAACGACGTGCAGCAGGCTGGCTATTGTCCACGCGGCGTCTTCTGCGCCTTCGCGCATGTTGACCGTGAGTGTACACTCATCAATCGTACGTAAAAGTCTTATTATATATTTTGTGAGTTCAATAATATTGTGCATATACGGCGATAGATATGTAGAGTTTACATACGCGTCTACCTGGCTGTTCCGCGACCGTCTGCGACACAGTCACAGAACAATTCGTCATTCTCTTCTCGATGCGACGCGATGGGCTCGAGTTCGTATGCCGATACCACGATGCGTGATACCACGGTCGTTCGGCTCGCGAATCCTTTTCACGAATTACGTTTCGAATACACGTAGAGAGTCGACTTGATAAATGCTAAATCTTAGCCGTCAAAATTATTTCTCAAAATTGATATATTGGGACGTTGGTATGGTGTGTTGATGGAAGCAGTGTTGCCAACAGAAGAAATGAGCCTGGCGAGGGATATGGCGGTACCTATAGATTGCGGAGCGAATCTGGCCG